AGCATTCGACTTACGACCTGGATTTGGGTCCCTAACCCCGTCATAAGTCAGAGAAGAGCTGTAATTTAGACCCTCGGAAAACTTTTCCCATTACCTGGAGAAATTCTAGGGATGAGATTTTTTGTTCAATCCAGAATGCGACGCCTAGCTTATGCCTAGGTATGTTAATGCCTAGCAATAACTCGCCAGGCCAACATACAGGCAATTAATACATCTAATAATTACTTAATACGTAATATTAGGAGAGCATGTCGTTACCTGACATTTAATTGCAATTCTCAAAACCCCCTCCCGCACCCTCCATCACACGTACTGCCACCGTCATCTTCTTGCCTGGCGAATCAGCTGTAAATATGCACAAAGAAGACTCCGCTAATTTGTGTTGTATTAACTGAAATACTAAGTGCCACGAGGATTTTATATACGGTATTTATACATCTTAGCACAGTGAGGAAATCGAGTGACATTTACTTTGTTTATGTCTCAGATATTGTGTTTGGGACAATTTCTTATACGGTCTGGTCAGCATGGCGACCACAGCGCGTCTTCTATTATGAAACTGCTAGATCGTTAGTGACTAATATCCTTTGCTTTCAAGTCACTTAGTGAATGATGTTGTTTTTCACCCTCCCTGGTTCACCTTCACTGAAAGAATATATATAGATAAACAATATGAATATACTGTATATAGGTACTGTTTACATTTTTCATTGTCCCAATTATACTCGTGCTAGTATGAATACCATGATTTATGTGGCCATCTCTCTCTCTCTCCTCTTATGTTCGTTCACAAAACTTTTCGGGCTTCCGCCCTGGGTTTTCTAATTACTCTCAGCATGAAGGCCAGAGTTAATTTTTTCTCTTCATAACCCTATTTTATTGATGTCCTCAGTAGCGGGTTCAGCCTTTCCAGGCGATCTTTAGCGAGGCTGCTAGCCTTAGTGTTCCTTCCAGAATGCTGACCTCCCAGTCTTACTAGCAATCTGGTTATGTTGGGATGGACCTTGTATCCTTAATATGGGTTATATGAGAACCATTCAGGGTGGAATTCTCAACCCAATACATATTCCTAGAGTAATAGTGAACGATGTTGCCAATGGAGCGCTATGGTAGCAGCTTAGCACTGTCAACCCATCTGGGTGACAATGCTCACTCAGGCATTTTCACTCAAGCTCATTAATTGCAGTGATGATGTCTGTGCACCATGATTGGCAACAAATAGAGAACTTGATGATCCCTCAAAATAAAAATGCTCTAAATGAAGTTAGTTTGATTAAGAAACAAAGTTCATTCAGCTGAGGGATAGTTGAGATAAGAGAAGGGAGAGGTGTATGATATATGAGTTAGTTGTTTATGATTGTCACACTGGTGACTTAAATAACAATAAGAGATATTAATGAAATAACTGACTAAAATATCACATTTATGAGTCATATTGATTATGTTTGAGAGAAAATGTTATCTCCCTTGTATTATTATGATGATACAATGTGACTCATAGTGTTCCTCCTAGTTTAGATGAGTGATGTGCAACTGGAGGATGAAGGACAGTTGTCTGGACTGCTGAATGATGAAGGAGACCATGGAACTGTCCCTGGGGAACTAGTGTTGAGTGATGAGCTACAAGGACTAGAAAGTTCAGCTCATACACTACATACAAGGAATTGTCCGTCAGTAGAGGATGTGACTTCAGTAGTACAGGTTGACAACCCTTTATCCGAAATTCCGAAAACCGAAAAGCTCTGAAAACCTAAAGTTTTTTTGTGGAGCATTTTTTTTTTTACCAGGGATTAGCCCACCCAGGCATAGATCACTGACCCACATCGGGGCCTGGGGGGTGAAAATGTAATAGTAATACTAATTCTAATAATAATAATTATTCATTGTAAATAAAATTTTTAATAAAAAATACACAAAAATAAAATAATAATAACAATAATAATAATAAAATATAATAAAATTAATATTAATAATAATAACAATAATGCGCTGTATTAATAAAATAATAATAATAATAAAGAAATGCAAAAATGAAAAAAGATAAAAAGTGAGAAACACGACCTAGACTTATGAATTATTATTATTATTATTAATAAAATTATTATTATATTTTCGCCTCCCAGGCCCCAATGTGGGTCAGTGACTTGTGCCTGGGTGGGCTAAAAAAAAAAAAAAACTAACCATTCTGAAAACCGAAAAATTCCGAAATCTGAAATGCCTCTGGCCCCAAGGATTTCGGATAAGGGATTGTCAACCTGTAGTAGTTTCACCCAGGACCCATGGGGACCATACTACATGTAATTATTAAAGATGTAGAGTCACTTGGATTACCAAGTTAGATCCTCATTTGGCTTGCATAATTCATAGCACTGTGTCTCAGACAACCTGTTTTCACCATTGGATTGTGCTATCTGTTATGATTAAATTTTTTAAATTAATCAAGCTGCAGGAGATAAGAGAGAATTATTGCAGATCCAACTTAAAATACAGTGGTCCCTCGGTTAACGAACACAATTCGCTCCAGAAGGTTGTTCGTTAACCGAAAATTTTGTTAACCGAAACCATTGTTTCAATGGGTTTTTGGTTAATTGGTTCCAGCTCACCGAAAATTACCTAAAGTAAAAAAAAAAATGCAGTAAAGTACACTTACTTTGAGGTGTGTATGTAGAAGGCTCCTGGATGATAATGATGTGAATTTGAAGTGGGAGGTGGAGGAGGAGAAGGAAGTAGGGGTGGAGGAGAAGCATTTTACTGCTTCTTGGAAGGCGAGTCACCTTCCATGACAATGTCAGGAACCTCTAGACTGACAGATTCTCCAGCAGGAACATCCTCTCTCATTCTTGAAGTGGAAGGCTGAGGGGTAGCATCTGTTTCCCGATGCGTTTTAGTAAAGAAACTGTTGTTTGGGCTGTGGGGCATTTATCCTCATCATTAACTGATGTTTGAAGACCACTCTGTCCTCAACATTAAACAAATTAGGTTCTATTGTTTCCACATCTGGGTGCCTTGAAGCTATTTTCCTGATCTTATCCCAGTAGTGAACAACATCTTTCAAATCTGAAGTAGACATATGGTCATCACTTTCCCTTTCCTCCTCACCACTGTCAGCCTCCAACATCTCATCAAGTTCCTGCTCATGAGACATCACAAGCTCTTCCACACCAACCTCCTCCACTTCGAGGCCCAATGACTGACCAATGGACACAATCTCCTTGTCCAACTCTTGCTTCTTCTTCAAATCCCTCAAAATCATGAAGTGCTGATGGCCACAGTGCTTACCATGCAGAATTGAGGGATCTAATGGAGACTTCTTGCCATGATGACACAATCAATTTTACAGCCTCCAGGATGTTAAATTTTGTCTTCCAGAACTGTGCCAGTGTTAGTTCAGGATCAGTGGAAGGTGCCTGATAACACCTCCTGAACATTTTCTTCATGTACAACTTCTTGAAGTTGCTGATCACATTCTGGTCCATTGGCTGCATGATTGATGTAGTGTTGGGAGGCAAAAACAACACTTTGACAAAGTCAAAGTGAGCCTTCAAAGTGCTGGCAAGTTCAGGGTCATGACCAGGGGCATTATCCATAAGGAGTAGAGCCTTTAAAGGGAGTTTATTGGTGGTTAGGTAACTCTTGACAGAAGGGCAAAACACCTCAACAGCCCATTCATTAAAGAGCTGTCTTGTCACCCATGCTTTACGGTTGGACTTCCAATAAACTCCAAGCTTTCCTCTTACCACTTTTTGTTGTTTGAACACCCTGGGGTTCTCAGTGGTAGACAAGCATAGGCTTTAGTCGGAAATCCCTTGAAGCATTGGCACCAAGCAATAGAGTGAGACGGTCTTTCATGGGTTTATGCCCAGGTAAAGAGGCTTCATCTCTGGTGATGAATGTTCTTTTGGTCATTTTCTTCCAGAACAGCCCAGTTTCGTCCACATTGAACACTTGCTGTGGAAGATAATTTTCTTCATCCACCAGTTTGTTAAGTCCACTACAAACTTTGCTGCTCCTTCTTTATCTGTACTTGCAGCCTCACCATGCCTAGTAACACTGAAAATGTTACTTCTTTTCTTAAATTTTTCAAACCAACCCTTGCTTGCCCGAAAATCTTCAAACTCTGTGCCAGAAGCACCAGGTTGATCTTCCTTTAAATGTTCGTAAATCTCCCTGGCTCTTTCACAAATAAATTCTGTAG